TCAGAGAACAATGAATGATCAAAAAAGCACATTTAAGATATTTTTATGAAGCACTAAGTTGTTATCTGATATAGACATTTCTTTCTTAAAATAAACAATTATTTTCTATTTAGTCAACAAAAGTACACAGAAATAATTACAAACATATTATTTCTAAAAGAAATCAAGAATGAATCACTTGAGCTGTCTGTGATCTGATAATAATTATTTCTGATTAAAATCAACTATTGATTTTTAAATCTCGCGCTTTTTGATTACTATAAATGAAATTGATTCGGTTTGTTAAACACTACAGAATTTATCGATAAAATGTTTTGTTCATGTCGATTATTCTCTCTGGCAGTTCAGAAATATTTGAAAAAAATGAGATATTAGTATTTTCATGACAGATGTCCATAACAATTAAAATATATCTAAATATTTAAGGGTTTTTGCCACTTTTGCAAGAGATGAAACATACGAATCTATGATATCTCTTTATGACTGTTTCATTATGACTGGTACATATATTCAGTTACGACTTTTTCAAAATTACAAACGATTGTACACTTGTTTAATCTTTAACTAACCAAAGCACGGTCGATCAGTTATTTAGAAAAATGGTAACTTCGATATTTTGTAATCGTTGATGATTCGTTGATTTGTTCACTTCTCATGTTGGAACACAAGTTCAGTTGTTACGAGAAAACAAATACAGTTAGACGGAATGAAATAGAAGAACTGCATAACTGTAGCTATCTGGCAAACTGTTGAAATTCAGTAATCGTTGTAAAACTAAGGTCTATCTTAAGAATAACTCAGTATAAAAATATTATTAAAATAGATTATTGTTCAGAATATTTTATAAATACATATATTTAATTTGGATGCTGACACTTATTTTTTTGTGTCGTGTGCCAGTTTATTGATGCCTAAAGTGAACTATGTGAATTTGTTGTGTATTAATCCCAATTTAGATAAGTTGAGACGCCTTAAATATTTAAGACTCGAGTATATTACTGAATATCAACCCTGAAAGTGAATCAATATTCATAATCCTATCTATTCAGTTGCATAGACAACTGTTTCTGTTAGTGTGGAAGAAAAAGTTATTACCTAAATTGTTCAGTCTTTCCTTTAAAGCTTAATTATTTACATACATGTATTTGAAAAAAGAAACAGGCTTATTAAATTCTAGCTGAACGGAAACAAATACATTCTACATTTCATAATTCCTAAGTGTAAAGTTATGGTTTTGTCTGTTTGCATTTAATGTGAACTTTATTTGGATATTCAGAAGATGTGTATGGATATTTATGATGGTTTTCTGGTGATGACATGATCATCATTAGTTGAAAAGGTTAAGTAACTATTAGTTTGAAAATATTTTTTATCAAAAAGTGATGATCCGTTGAATGATTTCAGTGGGCTAATCAAAGTCTTTATTTCGAAAAACAAAACAGGTTTTTTTTACTAACTAAATTAAAATATATTTGTCTCACTCTATACTCACCTGTCTGTTTACCTCACATCAGTATGCCTGTCTGTGTGATATTATTATATTATAATTTGTACTTTTCATATTTGTCAGTTATGAGAAGTTTGAAAATCGATTGTATTCATATTACTTGCAATATTACTACTACTAATAATGATCATCATAATAATGATAATAACATAACCACAATCCTAATCATACTATATTAACTTCAAATCGAATTATCTTTACGTTCCACGTGGTGTATCAATATGTTGAGAGTATAAGAAAAGTGTGTATGTGTTTTTTTTGTGTGTACGTGCTGGTGTGCTTGTGTTAGTCAAGTTTTAAAAATTTCGATAATTTAACAATGTGTATTCTGTTGTGTGGTTAGATTTAAAACAGTCATCATTATTATTGTTATTATTAGTATTGACGTATTCGTTCTGTCAAGTACTAGATTTGGAGTGTGGCATATAGTTTGTCAACGAAAAAAAATACCACAAACAAACGATCATTTCTAACGTAATTCTAATATCACTTATATCGTCATTATTGAATTCAATTTTATCATACTGTCGAAGAACATAAAAGAAAATGTGTAATTTTGGCCTATATTAAATATATATTAAATCAGGTAACCTATTTATTGGTCGTTATTTTGAACTGTTGGCTAATGTTTATTTTTTTCAATAAATTATTATTGATGTGAATAAGATCAATATTCAAGTGATATGAATTAGGAAATGGAAGGACTTGAAAAAAGAAATCAAATGTAGAAACTTTGAAATTTTACTAATCATACCAAGTTTTAATGCTACACATTCTAATGTAAGAGACTTTTATGCATTTCAATCAATAACTAGTATGTTTAGTTAAATTCTGTCAACGTAAAACAATTTAGAAAATGAAGGATTACTAAGGAGAAGTTCGTAATCTTTTATATTTTTGCGTTGTCATTGTGAACGAAAAGTTTTCTTGAATAAGTTAATAACCGGATTACTTTACACTGAAGTAAATTAGTTTAATGTTAGACTCATAATACTACTAAATATATGTTACAGTGATATTTCATGACGCTACTCAGAAACAGAAGTCAGATTAGAGAAGTAACCGAAATATATCATTGTTTTCATTTATTTTTCAGCGAAAAAACAACGATTTTCATAGTTAATTTTATTAACATATTCCTGGATTAGTACGCTGTTTTCAAAACTGGCTGACAATCGTCAAGCTTCAAACCAATTAAATCTAATCCAGTGAATATTTTGGGTCTAATAACATATACATTTGAAAACCTTAGTCTATAGTAGTGTCTTAGACTACAACGAAGCCTTGTTTCGACTATGTTCTTATGACGAATCAGTCAACTCTCAACTAAAACATGTTACTGAATAACTTAAACAATCTTATATATTAAGAACTAATTATTTTCAACAGACTGTTAATAGTGTCCATTTGCAATAATGAATATGATTAATCGCTTGAATCATGAAAGTATTTATTATTCCTTTAGGTTTAGTCAATTCAACATCAAGTTTAACTAGGACACACATATTTTTATGAAGCTAGTATTTTTTTTGCCGAAATCATTATTCATTACATCAAAACACAAAGAAATTGTTTGTCTAGATGTGATTTAATTTCTAGCAACTATTATGTGACATGAATAAATGAACAGTAGAATTCAATAGACTGTATATTGTAGGAAACTATTAATTCAACGAAATAACATTCGTTGATAATTCGATAAATCGTATGAGCATAAACTTGATTGATCACAAAGAATAGATTTTTACTTTTTTGAGATATTCATGAAAAAAGAACAAGGTCAGTTTCATTATCGATTAAACATTTCAGTATGTATATTTTAAATAAATATTGATCGTCAATATAAACGAGATATTTTCAAAAACTGTGTTTCACAATCGTTTGAACCTATGTTTACTACCCGATGTTATATCAATCTTGATGATTATTTTTAAGAATCGTCCGACTATTATAATAATACTAAAGAATCAAAAAATGCTGTAACATGAATACCGTGATTCTTTTATACCATTTTCAAAGTGATAATATTTAAATACACACGCCACACTTTTATTACTGATTGTTGTTCGTTGTTACTACTACTGTTATTTTTGTTTCTGCTATAAACACCAAGTTATAAATGTGGACCATGTCATTCTGGTTGATATGCTTCGTAACAATAGTGTATATTCTCCTAAAGTTGATAGTCTCACATTTTTGAATAATGTGTAATGTTGTTGAGGCGTAAAGAATAAAAAGTCGTATCATAAGACGAAACGGTTTCATTGACTTGATCATACTTATAAACTGCATATATATATATATATATATATAATCTGTACTACAATGTTATATTCAAGATGATGTATGGCTCCTACTTACTATGAAGAAATACCATGAGTACATAAAGTAAATGATATATCATTTATTTAAAAGTAAACTTATTATTATTATTCATGCCATTACTACTTACCAAACCTTAAATAAACTCTAGTGGCATTCACTGTTCGTTCCTTTTATCTCCGGCTATAGAACAATCTGGGATTTACAATAATCAAGGTTCATCACATCTCGGTATATTTTTAAACTGATTCACTAACATGCGATAATGAAGAATATTTCAGTTTTCATGTTTCACATGAAAACAACAAATTTTCTATCAAGTTTTTTTCTTTTCAGAAAGCACTTCCAGTCAACTTTTTTAAGTCATGATTAAAAAGTTTTTTTTCTGTAAAGTTTCTATAATAAATTTTGCTGAAATTATTTTAATGACTTTTTGTTAAATTCAATCGGTCCACATTTTTTTCACGCTTTTACAATTGATATAAATCATCAATGACGTTTAATGTATCTAATTTCTCGTTTCATCGTCAACGAATTTATCTGACAATAAGCAATTAATAGGTAGTTGGAGGTTAAGTTAAAAACTACACTCTCGCTTTATAATTAAATGAATAAGAATAATCAGTGCTTATTTCTATTCAAAATTATTTGTTTAGTTATTCGACAGGTTTATTTTATACAACTCTGTTGATTTGGCTAACCTTGAAATTTATTAATCTGAAACAAAAGACAGTTGATTTAATTTCAACTACTTATTGTAAATAGAAAGTAATTTTCTTAAAGTGCTTTTAAAAAAAAATGAAAATGAACGTGAAAGTTCAGTTCATTTAACAATAGCGTTAATCACAATTTAATATTCTGGGAAATCATCTATGCTTCATTCTGTTAGAACTCAGAGTACAGACCACATTCCCCTTATTATTATTTATTATTTTATCGACTACTACAACATACAAGTAGTATATAATTCAGATTTGTAAATAATATTGACCTCATGAATTTGCCCTAAGGTTAAAAGCTTTGTTAACTGATCTGGAATAAATTGTCCTATGATACTGATTGCAAGCCTTGAAAAGATTTGAAATGCTTTGTATAGTTAGAACGAATTTCATAGTTTAGATACACCTTGACTTAATAATATGAAGTGACGTCTATTTTCAAACTAATTAATATGGCAAATGTAATGAACGGTCAAATAGCTATGACATTAGTTTGGTCAAACTTGTCAAGTGCACGACGGTTGTTTAGTTTTAGTCAGTCTGTGATGCAAACTACAGCTAAATTACTGGAGTTACAAATCAGTAAATTGTTTGAAAAATTCGTTTGATTATTCTATTCTATTATTTTTTACTGTAATCTTGCAAGAAAACAAAGAAAATGTATTGACAATTGCATACATTGTAGAAAAAAGTAATTTACTTTAGAAATGAAAATACTAATGTGTGAAAAGTAAAAATCAATCACATCAACTGAAAGTTAAAATAATTCAGCAAATAAGTTTTTTTGTAATTATTTATGACGTGATCAAATGTCTGAAATTCAAACATTTTTAATGTTAATTCACTAGCCTCATTTATAACTACTTAAGTGTCTGCCAATTTAACTAGTTTATACGGATGAATTTTTAGACATGTAATACTCTCTGAGTTTGCAATATTTAACTTATGCGAAGTGCGTAATGATTTACTCATGTGCTAAGATGTATTGGATAAACTTTTGTTAAACTGTAATTAAGGTCTTACTAATTAATAGTAGCACTAGGTATAGATATCATTCACACCTATAGAAGTCAGTCAACTACAACGCTTGATTATCTTGTGTTGCATGTCAGAAAGTTGTATCAGTCAAGAATTCATCACATTATTTGTCATATTTTAATTTAACCCTTTTCACTAGATACGTTGTTTTTTTGAAGACAAGTACTTCTGTTCTGACTTTCAAACTAAGGTAAGTTGGAAACGATGTAAAACTGTAATCTACTGGCTAAAAGCTGTGCACTACAGCAATTAAACCACTTTATCAATGTATCCATTTCACCAAACTTAGACAATAAACTTTAAAGTGAACCGTTATGTTACAATGTAACAGTTGTTGAGAGATTACTTACAATTTCATACTTTATCATGCTTTTCTTGGGTACACGAATCGCCATTTTTTCATTCATTCAAACAGTACTTCTTTTCTGCCGTTCAAGTAAGTTGTATCTCTCAATCAGTCATGATTAATAATTAATGATCGTTCGATGTGAACTGCCAGTGTAAACATTAGGTATCACAAAATAATGAGATAATATCAAAACTAAAGGCTTTTGAATAAAAGACGTGACACTTGTAATAATGTGTCTCTGGCCATAAAAATACCAGTTCAATGCATGTTGTTAACAAATGAACTTTCTCACTAGTGAGAAATAAGCATTTTTGTATCTCTAGAAATAAGTAGTCTTCTGTATGACTGTAATAATGATATTTCCGATGCTTAGGAAGTTTGTATTTAGATGAAACAACTTATTGTTTGAACAATCTGTAGAATTTGTCATGTGGGGATTTGTGTAGTATGATGTTGAATAAGACATGCATTTATGTCAGGAATACAGTTACTACTTTCTTAGTGATAAATGAAAGTCAGGTATCGTATAAAAAAGTAACGCATAACATTTAACACACAATTTCTATAATTAAATAATTAAAAGCAATCTTAAACGACTTTATTAGTTGCTTTTATGCTAATAAAAACAACAGAATTTTTATTTTATTTAATATGATATGTTTCAACTAAGGACATTATTATGACATTGTTCATAATTTCTTTTATTCAAATTCAATTGCATATAGGATTCTTACTTGAATATCATTTGAATAAATTGAAATAAGTTCCGAATGCACTGTTATTGATTACGTTTATTCACGTTTATTAATGACTGACAGTAGAATGAAGATTGTGATTTGTTTTCGTTTTAAATAATCAGATGAAAATTGATGGCCATGGTAATTTACAGATTAGCTAGATGGATTCAGGAGCTGAATGCTATGTTTTAATTGCAGTAAGACCATTAGGGAACTGAAGGATGGTGTATTTAAATAATAAGTCCGTCCAAGAACGAAACTTGCATCTTAGATTGCATCGCTAGTTAAAAATAATCTCATAATACGAATATCAACAACAGAAAAGTGGGTATTTATAAAAATAATGGAATTTCATTATTTTTTTTATATAGATTCAAAAAAGAAAACTGTGTATTTGAAACCCTTCATATACGGACCATTTTACTTAGAAAAATGTATATAATACAGTTGGTCATCCTTACGAATTCAACTAAAGCCTTATTTAAATAAAATGTAGCTATAACAAATTGTTTTAAATGGAAGACCCATATTTGAATCTGTAGAATAGTATTTTTGCCTATGAGAATGTTCACCAAAACCGGGTCGTTTATTATCGCTAATGGTTCCAAACGAAACTAAACATTTGTTCTAGTTCCTGATTAGAATTTGCAACGAAATCTTCTTCTTTTTGATATTTTAGCTAGAAAAATGTCATCTAATATGTGACCTAACGGTGAACTGATACTATTCACGTTCACTTGTCCGTGGATTTCTCCGTTATCAATGAAATCCTAATTCACAGAGCACTTCAGTAGTAATTCTTTTATGATATAAATTGGAAAAATTGTTTCCATAGACATTTGTAAAAAAATCGACACCTTTATATTTTATGCTTCAGAGCGTAAACACGACAGGCGTAACATGGAAATCGACAAAACTGGAAACATACGTAAATACTTCACAAATGTTGAACTACTTCTGACATTTAGATACATACTTATTTTACTAGGAAGAATATGTAAAGCAAACAAACTAATTAATAATATGATTATTCTGTTAATTTTAGCATTTTTTGAATGTTATAAACTAAGATTGTTGCGCCGAATAAAATGACTCATGACAGACCTCACTGAATATAGTTTCATTTTCAAAGGCCACGTGTTACTACAAGTTAAACATTCGGAGAAAATTTCAGTGTAGTGTCTATATTGTTATTGTTATTAATATTATTATTATTATTATATAGTATGAGTTGTAAATGATGTATTTCTTGATATTTTTACAAGATAATGTGATTGACATTAATTGGGCTGAATAATCAGGTCTTAGTTTTTTAGTGATTAAGTGGCTAGTATATCGAAATATTTCTTGTCGATTATAACATACTACTATGCTGACTTTTATATAGATATTTTGCTTGTAGACAAAGTATCTTTTCGACTAGATGGTGGTCTAATACATCCTATACATGTCGATCTAGAGAAGATAAAAACTAAAGTCAAGTAAAATGATCACGTTTTAAAAATTCTATTCAATAATTATGAAATATTTGTGCCAAAAAGTTGAACTACATCAGTGAGGAGAAGATATTTTACTGCAGATAACCTAGGGAGAACAATCATACTTTAGATAAAGTTATGATGCAGGAAAAAACCGATCTCGTCTGGAACCTTGATAAATTATCACAACGCATTCAGTATGTATACGTTTAAGCACTTATTTATTACAAACCTTGAATTACTAGTTGTATCTTATTCAATCCGATCAAATCGATGCAGTATTCGAAATCGAATCTGCGTATAGAGATTATTCAGAAGAAAGAACAATATTTTCTGGGTTTGACTAAGAGAAATAACCTTTCCTTATAGTATGGTGAATTCAATGTGGTTGAAAATAAGATTTATCGCAATTCTAACTTTCTAAACCATATAAGCAGAAATCAGTAACTTTTCAAATTGTGTTTTAAACAAACATATCATTGTTATTTGAAGGGTTATTTCACATAATCTCACGTAATCAGTTTACATTCTTGGCATACTCATTGCCATGATAATAAGGATATTTTTTATTTGTTTATTTGGTAAGATTCAATCTGAATATTATTTGAAAATTTGTTAAATTTTTAAATACTTGAAAAACTCTTACGTAAATTCTTTCATACTATGAAAACGATAGTATTTATATTCAAAGTTTCAACGATAAAATATTTATCATTGATTACTTTAACATCATTTCAGTAAAATATTAGGTGGTTATTGTCGCCAATATTTTAATTTATTGATAAGAAAGATTTATATAATTTATAATGAGCCACTAATTTTACAAATGCTTGAAAATAAAAAAAACTGCAGATTATGATTTTCATTTATCAGCTTATTGTGTAAGGCCACAAAAATTTCAAAAACACACGTAATTTTAATGAAGAAGATGTAAACAATCCGAAATATCATCCACTAAGCAATTCACTTTGAAATTTATGGGATTTTAAAGAATTCCATAATCGGAATGCCTTGGTAGCGTTTTGTGTATTAAAGTATTCGATTTGTTAAATAAGTTAATCATCCTTCTGTCGACTGGCTACTTTTGTGATGGTTTTAGTTGTATAAATGTTTAGTAGTAATTAACTATGGTTGCTAGAACTTAATTTTCCTCCGATCTAGATTTCGTAATATATGCCACTGAAACTAAAATCTATATTATGAAAGTACTATTTGTTAAAACCATCTAGAAATAATCCATTGATTAGTGTAAGTCATATGAAATATGTCAATATATACATGTATATATATATATATATATATATATATATATATATATATATATATATATATATATATATATATATATATATATATATATATATATATAGTGTTTGATAATTTCACTTTAATTGGCATTCGGTATTCTGCTGAACTTTTCATTTAATTACTGAAATGAATTTCAACATAAAATGTGACCTATTTGAAATAACTAATGTGGAATGATGTAAATGATTTTGTTTTCATAAGAAGTACATTGCTGAAACTGGATACGATGTAAAATTGAATCACCCAGAAATCTGTTGCTGGATTGAGTATTTTACGTAAATCCAATAATGGTCTTTTATATTCTCTTGCTGAAGTTAAAGACTACAATATTTGATCACCTGAAGCGAAAAGTAATAGTTTCCAGTCTGTCTAAACATTAACACTGAGATCCAGCTCTATTTAGTTGAAGAATACTGAATAAGAAGAATTGGTCTCTTAGGAATTTGCCTCCATCAACTCTTTAATTTGTTTTATGTTTTTTTCATCTGATGAATATCTACCAAAAAAATAAACTTATGTTTCACAAAGTCTTGTATGATAAGAGAATATATGCTTTTAGGGTCATCTCAGTCCACCAGTTCACAGACAATCATTTAAGTTTGATTCGTAATGGTATTAGATTTACTGATCTTTAGAAGATTGTTGAATTAGTTCGATTGTCATACTGCTAGTAAATCCCTGATACATCAAGAAACGAATTTCCAGATGCAAAATGTTTACTAATACATCACAAGGAGGAATTTCTTGGCTTCAGTGCTGTTGCGCAAATACTAAGTGCAAGAATGCTAAGTGATTAAAGATATCTGCATTTAATTTTTTCATTATACCTTGAGAAATTGTTATGACTTATGGATGCTTATTTTTAATGGACAATTCAAATGTTGACCAACTGCTGTTTGTTCATCAGTATACTAGAAACGTTTGTAAATATTATTATATAATGTATGAATTGTGATATGACTATCCATAAAATAAACCAACTAGTCACTTGCATAGATTTCAAAAGTTTTGTTTAGATAAGCTATAATTTGTAGAGTTTAAGTCCAGTTATATATATATATATATATACTCTTATTTAGGGATGCTGACGTTACTGTATTTGAGTTCTATCATTTCAACGGTAGCAAATTTGCAAATTATTGTAATAAAAGCCCATTACTGTAATACTGTTTCCATTCATGTTGTATTTAAGAAGGATACACGCGATGAAAGTTAGGAGTCGAGTCATATTTTAAACTCAAATTAAGTAAATCTACCACCTAGTTTATGTTTTGATGAAAATTAGCGCATTTTATCCAATAAAGTTAAAAATGTGAACCATAATCTAACGATGATTCAGTTAACAGATAATCTGGAGTTCCTATATTTCATATCGAATGGGGTGCTAAGTTCTCACCTCAAGTTCTACTAAATAAATGAAACAAATAATTAATGCTTTCTGGATGTTGCTGAAATCGGAACATGGTACTAATTATCAAAAAATTACATAGATATAAAACTAATAGAATATTACGGGAAACATATATAAAAACACAAGTTATAATGCAAGTAGTTTTACATTTGGTTCCATGTTCACATGGAAAAACTCAAAAGGATTAACCCTCAGTATTCTTCTAAATTTAGTAAAATAATCAGAAATTTCGCAGTTTCTGTTCAATGTTTTGAATTCATCTACAAATTGTTTCAAATTTTTTTGCTCGCAAAAAGATAATTTATAAAAATGGCTTACTAGTCATTGAAGAACGTAAGACGTTCATTGAGAAATACTATATAACTGTTTATATTTCATATTTATAGAAAACCAAGAAACAATTTCATAAGCAGATGTTTGTATTATTAACAACAAATACTATAAAACTTCCGACATTATTCAGCTGACTCTACCGTTTAAGATGAAACATTTAGCTGTACACTTTTATCAGGTATTTGCTGTACAGCACTAATTTTCTAAGATTTCAAGTTATTATGGTGTTTACTGAGTGACCAATTGGATTGAAAAAGGTCGTGATGAATTTATCCGGTGATTATAAGTGTAAAACTTTGTCAGACAAAGATGCTTTGATAAAAATTGAATCTGACTCTCAGCTTATTGTTTATGACCGGTTTATGAACATAGACTTCTTACTAAATGATCTAATGCTTTCTAGTTATCTGTCACCCACTTAAGTTTTTCTATATTTCTGATAATTTTTATCTATTTACCTGGTGCAATTCTGAGTAGTCATATGCTTTAATTTTATGGGACCTTATAATTACTTGTTATTTATTAATAAAGTAAGTCGTAATTATGCCCGAAATCAGAATCTAGGAAGCAAGTATCACATGTTTGATTTAGATATATTTGATTGGTAGAAAATATAATGAAGGCTGATATAAACTGAAAATTGATTTTAACTAAAAAATGTTTCTTTTTTCAGGAATTCTCCAATGAAACCAATTTACTGCGCTCTACTTTTACTTTGGTCAATTAAGCAATAAAAAGCACTGTCAAGATTGTTAACGTTTTCAAAACTCGTAGAACTATACGTATACTGGTAATCACATAAACACCTTTTGAGTTTTGTAAATAATTTAATTTTGATAGTAAACATTCTTGGATATTTTCTGTTTCTATTATAATTCGTAGGAAAACAGTCAGATATTAAAAACAGTGCATGATACTAAACTTTCAATATCATGACCTCTGACAATAATTTGCCTATTATGTAATTTTTAAGACTTTAAAAAGACAGTGTTGTAACATAAATTAGTTACTTATTCATGACATAAATAAACATCTTTCGCTTCAGTATTTATAAAAGTACAAAAATATGGGAATGTCATGAACCTAACTGTTAAACTGTTTTGTATATAAGACAAATTCTAACGTCAGTGTTCAGGGCAAATATGAACTATAGACGGTAGGAAGAAATAAACACTTATATCTAACATACTTTGATTACAGTGTTTGTTTAAGTGTCGATGGCTAAATTTGCAAAATTTATTGAATGTTTTAAAAACATTCACTTTTATCGTATGCTTGCGAAATAGACTACTTATAAGATTTTGCATTTATATTTGAAATCAATAAATTTAACTTAAAATCAAGGTATCTCAGATGAACTTTTATCAAGTCATATTAATCTTTGTTTCATACACTGTGAATGGATTTTTTAGATCAAATATATTGTCTTTCTTTCTTGTGGCATCAAATTATAATCGTGTGTTAAAATATCTTCATCAATAATAAACTGTCCAAAATAAATTGATTTCTTCTTATTCAATGTTCCTGTTCCAAACTCTGTTACATTTTGTTTTGTAAAACTTTCTGTAAAACGTTTACGGTGAAAAAAATTTATCACACTTCATTAGGTGAAAATTTACATGTTTTACCAATTTTAATAAGAAGCGACAACAATGAACTGTTCAACTGCATTGAAATGAAACTTGCGTTAATTTTTTCAAGACTGAATGTGTTTGACGAATTTTTTTCATAAGTGGATATATCGATCGTTAAATGAGAAGGAAATTATAGAAAACATTTCCTCAATTCGAAATTTCCACTCTACCCGCTATTCCATGACAAAAAGTATGCCATTATCTTAATAATAATATTTCATCTAATAAGTATAACCTATTAAACTATGTAATGTTATCTTTCAGAATCATTCCGTCGTTAAATTATGGATGGCAGTCATCAAAGACTTTGTTTATAAATGATACTTTTAACAGTGTTTGGAATAAAAAAAGAGATAATTCAAAGCAAATGTAATGTCTCTAGGGCAGCTATTATCATCACGAATTGTCATCACATGACAGCAAGTTAGTTTTTATCCATAATGTTAAATGTTAGCATCCTTCACAGTACAGGCAAAAAATAAGATTTAACACAATTAGTCCCTTTTATAAATTTTGATAGAACAGTGAGAAGACGTAATTGATCTCAAAAATGTGATGTATTTGCGCGCTACACACATTTCGAACAATCTGGTCACACATATTTACTTGTCAAGGCATTTTATATGAAGATGAATAAAAGGTCAATTAAATGAAAGTTCAAATATACATAGGGTGATAATTGTAAATAAAGGAGAGAGAAAATTGACGTAATATGAAAAGAATAAGAAAGGGTAGGAAAATTGTCACATTACTCTATGCTTAAAGATTACCAGGGTAAATTCAAGGTTATGACAAATTGTTTTTGTTCACTTAAGGGGGGTTTTAATTTACGAATAGCTAAGGCCTCCATATAAAGATGTAGAAGGACATCTATGCACATAAAATATTCATAGACAATGAGCATCATAATCCAAGAAATAGATCAATAATTTTCAGCTTTTCTGTCATCTATCAGTAGGTTCATCACTTTGAAATGATAATCTTCGCTCTTTCATGAAGCTGCTAAGATGTTTTTTGTGGTTATTTTGTATTTTGATTTTGTAAATACATGATATTTGAAACAAAACTATAAGAATTCAGGCTTTTGGTATATCAGTTTGAGATTCGGGTAGATAAGTATCCGAATGACCCATAGTTTATATCAAAACCTAGTACAAAATTGTGCATCTACCATCAGTGATGTAACAATCTGGATAGATCGATGTACACTCTAGTAGTTATAAGCAACTACGAAAGGTAGCAAAGCAACCACCATGCTCCTTCCAACATGGTTTATTTGTGTGACAAGAAGTAGAAAATACATTTTATGAAGATTAGTAGTTAAAATGTCACGATATGCAAAAGTTTTTAACCGTTCACTTATATTATAATTGAACTCTTGAAATAATATTTATTCATTACAGTTGACTAGTAAAATAATATTTCATGAGCATTGATGTTGGATTTTTCAACTTAATAGGATAAAGAATGAAAACTGACAAACTCTTCATAATGTAGTTAATTTTGTATTATAATCAAACGAGTCACAGAAATGAACTTATAAAAGCTTCTAAATCAACATAACATTGACTACTATAAATAAATAATTATTTCTAAACACTTCAATTATATAATTGAGCTCAATGTAAATTCGTCAACACGATAGATTGTTATAGTCAGTAAAATAGTGTCGAATTCAATCAGATACATGAATGTATTCAAGATCATAGAGACCTTTTGTTGAAAAGAGCCATTTCAAACATTTCAAATAATAAATTACTGCAGATTGTTGCAGATCAACTAGTTTGAAATAAAATACATCATAATGTACATTCGCTCAACTTGATGAATAAATTACAGGTCAACCTATAAAATAGGAACATCTCTAAAAGAAAGACAACATGACATTTACTATTACTAAGTGAATTCTACCATACGCATTGATTAATTCAACAATGAATTATTTAACAAATGTTAAGAACTCATTTTCTGATCGCTAAATACTCGTATCTTAACATAAACTTGAAATTTTATTTTAATCATCCCGTTGGTAATTAAAGATTTGAACGTACAACAATGACAAACGAACTATTTTATGGAACTTAATTTAATAAAGTGTTTAACATTTATTTTATGTTAATTACATGAACATTTATCATCTTGCGAATAGACTGTTTGAGTCTTAAAAAGAATTTCTAAGTATGGGCAAAGACTTTTCATTAGTGTTATGATTAATTTTTACCAACACTATGTCCTAGTTCATTCAATTTAAAAAAACGAAATTAAACTTGTTAAAGTATACTATTATTTTATGAAATCAATTTGTCAAATTCAGTGTTAAATGCTTAAAAAGTTCATTGGAAAAGCAGAAATTTAAAAATATGGCATAGCATAGGTAGATTTATCTATTTTACGAAATTATCACTAAGAAGGGTTATTCGAATTTATAATTCTTAAGTAATATTTTTATGCTTTTTTGATATTAGGCATCAGATTTATTTCAAGTTTAAAAAAGTGTATTCTTCATGTTAAATGTTCGATGCTTTGTTAAATTAAAACACTTTAGTAAATCTATTTGAAATCTCATTTAATTGATTGAATAAAACAACAACAGTAAAAAAAGACTAACAAATACACTAACAAAATTAAACTTTAAGCCTTTATTTTTACCAATTTGCATATAAAGCAACCGACTGATATATATATATATATATATATATATATATATATATATATATATATATATATATATATATATATATATATATATATATTTAAAACATGACCGTATTTGACCGATTAGACTGAGAACAACATTGTGCTTAATTCTCTAACATTCTATTGGATATCACAAAGTATATGAAATCGATTTGTCATTCTCTTCAAGACAAAAAGCACAATACTCGAATACTTTGTTTTCTACCTGATTCAGTATACTAGTGGAATAATATAAGAGTTGTATATCCACTGGAATAGAAGTAAAAGTGTAACAAATGCAGTAATTATGACCATCATTTAAATGATGAAGTTTGGATGAAGCTATCAGTATTGAAGAAACTTGTTAAACAATCGGACAACAGTTAGTAAACAGTTATTGTCAATCAAAACCAAGTTATCACTTTTATTATCTATCATAATTTAAAAAAAGATGAATATTCATGTTGTTCCTAAAATTATTTTTCCACAGAGAAAATATTATAGACTTTCACCAACACAAGTGTCACAAACATTAACAATGACAACAGAAGAAAATCACCCAGATACAACAATTGAAAATTTGGATAAATCTCAATTAGATACCAGTAAAGAAGATGATTCATTTTTTGAATATTCAAAAGCTAGTGATGTTGAAAGTGTTTCGAAAGACAAAGTGCCAAATGTATTATCGCAAATTTCAGTCGATACTCAACCACTGAATGATTATGATAAATCACAAGAGGTTACAGGTAAACAATATGAAGAATAATAGTTTTTATACAGTTAATATTTTGTTAGTTGTTAATTTACTATATGTAACGGTTATTTTACCCTTGTAAAATAAAAATGCTAAATGGTTACATTTCAGTAATGTTGATATTTCAAATCATACAAATGCAGACGATGTCATGAACTGATATCCTTTGTAAATGGATCTGTATATGATCAAGCTGCTGTTTTGACTTGATCTGACTTTTTTTGGTTGAACAAATCGATTATTTGTTGCAGAAATGTATTCAGGATGCTCTGATTGCACAGTTAACACAATAGTTATAGATTACCAAGCTAATTCACATACCATCCATTCTACTACTTATTTCATAAATAAACAAACGGATACCTGGAGAAAATGTAATTTAATTTATAAATCTAATTCACATCAGTTATATCTGTGTCTATTATTAACGTAGAATAATAAGCTATTAATTGAGCTGGTACCTATCTGAAATAAAACTCTAGTTACAAACAAATACATGTGATCATCTATTCAACGAATTTTAGCATTATTGCTAAGTACCTAAAAGAAAGTTAATTTGTCACTGTCGACAGATCTCCAATAACCGTATCAAATATTTGAAAGTGTCTACATGTTATAATCAGTATACATATATATTCATATTTAAATTATCATTTATGAATTATTATATGTAGAACTCACGTGATTGATTAGCTGATACAGAACATTTAGAACCATTTGACATGAAAACATAGTTAATGTAGAAATAAATCACTTAGATTAATGACTACAATACAGTCAGGACAGTCAATGCAGTCAGGACAGAAGGCTTTATCAATTTAACTTCAACTTTCATCAAGTTATCAATCTCTATTGGCTTAATAACTAGTAGTTAAAACAATAAAAGGCTGATTGTGAATGCGAATTTAACCTCATTCTGCCTTATTTAATTCAAACATAAAGTGTACTTACAAACTAGGATTTCGCATGCAAACTAGTAGTTTGTACTTCATTTTTAGAGTGAAAATATAACATATTTTGGCTTAGTTAGATAGTGAGGTTCACTTGGTGCATATGTAACAGCCTTTTAGAAAATTAGTAAATGAAATGCCTAGATATGATCAATAAATCACTACTAACTTATCTGAGCCTGAACATCTTTCAGTTGAACTTTTGCTAGTAGATTAATAAGAAGTTATTAAAAATGCTTATAAGGCAAACTTCTACGTTTCCAAACGTCTCTGAAATAGAACTGCATTTCATTCAGTTACTTTATTTTTTACTCATTTAAGTAGAATATGTAATGCAAAGATCAACTCAATGTACATAATGCAATTAATTGAGGAAAATCATTTCAATTATCTCGATCAAATAGCTAAAAATCATGACATTTCATTTTAGAAATGAACAAAGGTCGTACTATAAGAAAGAAATAGAGCAGATATATACATATATTGGAAAGTTAAAATCTGAATATCGAACCATTCCTAACATCAAGGATACATTAAGTACCTGAATTCTAAGTCCTTTCGGAATACTTAATTCCGTGACAAATATTTTTATTCTTTTTATGCTGACTGGTACAAAAATCCAAGGACGAAGTAGGTTCGGACTAAAGCGTATAACAATGAAGGAGAGATCAGTTTTCCAGTAAATAAACTAAAACAAATTTATTATAATGAAGAACAATGTTATATCAACTGAACTGAAGTCGAATAGCAGTTTTCTGCTTTTCATATACACGAATAATAATTATGAGATTCATTTTTGTATTTTAATAAATACATTTTTATTTTATCCCTCTCAATAAGACCATAACTATTTGAATGATACAATTTTAATCAACTCATAACTGAATCAATTAGAGGATAAAAGATTTTATTTTCCATTTATTAACCTGAGGATATAGTTAATAGATTCATTAAGACACTACAACCAGATTCATTACTGACAACATAGATTGGAAACTAGTTCAATAATTATTTTTCTAACTGAGTGTTTTGTTCATCGACAGAAAACTATACAGTTAACACACTTCTACACAAGTTTATTTATATGCTGCACTGATGGAGGTAATTGCTTGTGGTAAATACGCAATAAAAATGAATGCAAACTATGTTTTAAAAAATGTTCCAGTAAAACGATACGATCTTATGCCCAAGGTAAAAAATTTGCTCATGCTTCACTATGTGCACAAAAATATTCTTTTCAAAAATTGTATCGATAGAATAAAAATAAATTAGATTTTGTTATTTGATTGACAAATGTTTTGGAATGTGTTACCAGTAATAAATGTAAAATTATTAAGTGTTGTTTAGGCAAAATGAAGTTATCTTTGTCTCGATAGTTTATTTATAAGCTGATTAGCTATTTTCACTTCATCTTTATTGTTTGTTTCATGCGAAATGCTGAATAATCAGAGAGAATGACTTAAGTCGATCGTATTATTGCAATCCATCTATGATATTTTCTTCGATAAAATACATCTTTAAACGCAAAACCATTGAACTCTATCGAATACAGCTTCCAGTTAAAACATCGAGAAATTTCCTCTTTAAGCTTAATAAATGTCTTGTTAGTTGAGACTCTCTTTCTTACTGCATAATTTCAGTTTGATATACGGTAAATGGTAATCATTTTTTCAGCTACATTATTTCCATTTGTTACGTATGATCCATAATTCTGCTCTAAATACTTTAGTGAAGTTTAGATATTTGAAAAGTCAATTATTTGACCTAAGTATAGTCAACTTCACTTCATATACCTAAAAATCTAGGTTTTTTGACAGACAATTTGGGTTATAGTCAAGCCATTTAGTCAGTCTGTTACAGTCACACTTTGTTCTGTTTTCAATAGGTAGAATTAATAAATGAGTTAGTAACCGTGAGATCTGTAAAGTTTTCATAACTGATGATTATATATCATCGAGGTGAGGTAAATATATCTAGGATAATGTCATCAAGAAGCTATGGTTTTGAAGCTGTGTTCAATTTTTGATGTGACGTATAACACAATCGTGCTTCATCTAAAGAACGTCAGCATTGTATGGAATTCTTCAGCATTGCTCACCATCACAATAAGCAACTTTCAAAAATCTTATTCAAGTTTAGTTAATAGTCGCGACGTTTGGAAGCTTAGACCAATAAAGTGCAATCATGTCTGTAGTTTGCAAGGTATTACCCCATAGTTTTGGATGCTGTTCACAAAATATCGCGAAGTGGCTGAAATGAGAACCACCAAAGATCAACGCAATGACTCAAAAACAATACTATCTGCATGACCTCGAGATTCGGTTTTTCATCTCCAGAGATGGTTGTGAATATGCTTTGTCTTGCAGTTTCAAACTGAACAGAATAGTCGCTTTCCGTTTCATGATTTTCATTATTTGTTTGACTTGAGTTAACTGTATGATCTGACACACCTAGTTGGATAATATTTGCAAGTGTTCTATCCTATTTCCAGTCTTAATTAAACGAAAAATAAATTATGTAGTGTCATGAATATTAGACTTACAATGTATTTTAAAAATATTTTAAATCAACAACATTGTTTGTAAACGTTTATTCGAAAAACCAGTCGATCGATTATGGTTTCCTGACAGATTAAAAAACTCCTATAGTGTAAATAAAGTGAGTTTAGTACATTCCATTGAAACTCATATAAACAACGGTTGCAACTTAATAGAAATATTCATAATCAGGTAATGAAAAAATTAAAACAATTTCTTACTATTATTCGAGACTTTATGTCATTGAAACTACTGTTTACAATGAAAGATTTGTAGATGGCATCATTTAAATCGATATGTGTAGTTGATAAACTATGCTTAATGATAAAAACTAGTGATTTAAATAAACTAAAACACTACCACAACGAACTAGATTAATAATGTATGCTTATGTGAATAAATGATTGATGTTTACGAAAACACTCAGTGTTAAAATTGAGTGTTAATTGTTTGTAAAATTTAATCATTTTCAAATCATCTAAGTTATTCTATTTGTTAGGCAATAGGTATTTTTTTCTCATTAATACAAATGTTGAACAATCATTTATTTTAATGGTTGTATAGAAAAAAAATGACAGAAAAAATTTATTCATTCAAGAATTAATTACAAAGAATCAATGGTTAGAATTTGAAATTCAAATTACCAAATCATTAAAGGATTTGTATTTTTACAAAACACTTTGATTATACAGGCTGTGTTTTATTGATTGAATGCGAAATTTTAGTTCTCCAATTGTGTTATTCAAATTAATAGTTCAGCTTTAAGTAACGAAATATTTGAAACGGCGAATTTTTATGTACATACTTGGAAATATCATTTTCATTTATTTATAAATAGTATTAGCGGTGTTTTTGTAAACTAATTCATATTGTCGAAATAATATCGAACTATGAAATCTTAATTTACTGCCAACATAAAAGCCAGACGTGGTGGACATGCCAAACCGATATAAAATATTTATTTGTCTGAGCATTAGTAGAACAACAAAATGCTTTTTGAAATACCATTGATGATAAATCGGTAAAAACTACAAATAATTCTGATTTTGTTTTCTAAAAATAGTAATCATGACGCTTAGTGCTATTCAATCAAGCCAAAGAATTCCTTTGAAAAGAAGGTAGCGTGAATTACTATGTAAACTAACGAAATGAATTTCAGTAGCTTGTGCCAATAATCGGTTGGAAACTATTCACATATTATAAACTCTATGTTAATAATAACTCCCTTATATGATGTCTAATTTATGTATTTTTCCATATAATATATTTTTAACATAAATTTTTTTTAATTATTCAGGATCAATAAAAGAATACAATTCGTCATTTAAAGTTCACCTTTTTAATGTAGTATATATGATTAATGATTAGTTGTTGTCCTGTAGCTTGAAGTTGTGTTGCAGTTTATTTTTAATCTTGTTTAAAACCAAGATTGGTTTGTGATCGAAAGCTTGTATAATGGTTATTAAATTGAGTTACTGTTTAAAAATAATCTACAAAACGAAATTTTTTACATAATAATGGTTTAGGTAGTGATTTATTGGCCTGTATGCAATTAAACATTTGTATTGTTGGAGTTTTCAGAACAACTCATTTGAGATGAAACAAAACGTGGATATGCCTACAAAACTATGACTCAATTAAACCGAGATAATTATTCATTTTTGGATAATTCTTTGTGCTTAGATCAACTTCATATCAACAGTGATGAAAGTTCAACTCAATACATTTATTCTCAATCATTAGATTATCTTTTTTCTTGCAATTCTTTTTATAGTAGATTTTCTGAAATTTTTGGTTTGTCCATTTTTTTAATTGCCTAAAGATTGGTAATAGAAATTCATAATTTAGATTCACTCAGGTAAATTAATCAGATACAGTCATTTTACTTTTATAAAGTGATCAATAAGTTAAACGATGAAATTTTCTAACAGAAGTTCCACACTGATTGGTAATCTTATTAACAAGTGTAGACTTTATGTTAAAAGTCTTACATTTAAAATATATTTCAGTATGAAACTATTTGAATAGTTTCACGAGAGAGGATAGGTGGTATATAAGAATCCAAGGAAAACGTTTTAGTATTTACTTGAATTGTTCAGAAACTAGATGTATACTGATATGGAATTAGTTTCTCAACCACATGTTATGAGTTGACAGTGCTGTACTGTGATGAAGCATATTTCACTGGATGAGACCATTATAGTTATGATATTCTTACTTACATGCATAAAAAATCTTTTATACCAGTATGCCATTTTATTAATAAATTCATAAAATACGAAGCCATATCAATTGTAGTGAATAGAGATAAAAACATAATTATGTTTGTAGATTTCTATCTACAATCAGTTAATGGACGCTATTTCTATTCATGATCACCTTCTAGGCTGAAATAGACGTTACCATTCAATCTTCGCCATAAGGCATAAATGAGTAGCGACCACTTATTATTAAATGGTAGTAGGAAATCAATTGATACTATGTTCGCTTCGTGTTCCAAACACTAGTAAAAACAGTGTGATATTTGTCAAGTACTTTTAAGAGCTGATTGAATTCTACTAATTTAGTTGCGATATGGAAAATAAACTAATTTACCCCAATTTGAATATAACATACTTCCTACCAACCATCTTGAACTATTTGAAACATCAATATAGCAAATGCCTTGTTCACGTTTTTTAGACCAGAAGTCACGTTCCAAATTGATCAATGTAATATGATCAGCACTAATAATGACTTGAGAAGCATTATATCAATCACTACTCACTGGTGAATCAGTGCTAAGTCTAGTGAGCCGATAAAATAAATTACGACAAAGTTCTTGATTCATATTTATAGGAACAATAATGAAGGCATTACACTTTAACTACAGTGAAATCTTCTATCCACCGACATTAAGTTCATTATGTAGCATTATGAAGAGGTTTATTGATTAAAATTGATATCAAAACTGAACGGTAAAACTCTTAACTAAATGCATTCAGAGAGTTATTTGGGAATGTAAATAATGACTTAGATGGTTTGTCAGTCGCTATGGTTTGTAATGTTGTCTATAATTCTAATCAGATACACGATCGACGTGAATTATTCCAAGTTAGAATAGCAACATATTTCTGAAATGGTACATTTTTGATTATACAATCCGTTAAGCATGATCCTATATTCAGCTGGTTGAAATTAAGGTCATTTTAGTTTTAAGAAAGCAAATCTAGCCGCTATTATTTGTGTTGGGATATTCATCCAATATCCTAAGAGAATTATTGGTCAATTCCTATTGGTTAATTCCTACTGGTCAATTTTATGGTCGTCCTAGATATCAATGTCACGTGCTCAAATGTTGTTTCTTATTGGTTGTCCAGACTATCAATGTCACTTCAAATGTTGATTCCTATTATTCGTATTAACTGTCAATGTCACAGACTTCGATGCTGTTTCCTGTTCGATCAAAATGTATAAATAAGCATTATCTGTAACGTTTTATGACCAGGACCAGGACCCGGTCTCGGATCCCTAGTCCGGGATCCTGATTCTCTTGTGGACGCGGACCTCTTACTTTCTGGATGCTTGTTGAATACAGGTTCTGCTTTATATCATGTCTTCTTATTTCCACTCACTATGGGGTTGGGATGATCGGATTTAAGTAACATGTCGTGTTGCCGGATCCTCGATCCTCGCTCTCGTTTTTCTACTAGATAAACTCGTAATAGTTCAAACATATCAAGTTGACGTTTTTACGTGCAGGCGTAACAATTTGTTATGAAAATTGTTGTGTAATTTAAAGGTTTGAGTCAACTAGTTTCATTTACAGATGTGCATCTATAAGTTACAACTCGATAGTTCAAGAATAAATCAACAGTCATGTAACTAATGATTCTACATAGTTTAGAATGCTCTGTTAGTGAATCCTATGCTAAGAAAATCAATCTTTAGAATGTTGCTTATCGTTTCATTATTGGTATTGATTTGTGATGAAATAATAAACAGGATAACTGTATTAAATTATTATACTATAGTTACATCATTCATTTATAATCATAAATCGATAACATGAGCTATTGAAGTTACTTTACCTTTGATTCAATGTAAATTTGAATAAAAGTGTAATATAATAGACATGTACAGTTTCTTACATTTAAAATTCCTAAAGCCTAAAAACTGGTACATTTACAAAAGAATTACTACATTCAAGGTTATGATTTATTTTCAAGATAGTAAACATTTATTTGAATGAAGGTTATTGATATGTTTTATTCCTGTAGTAAAATATATTCAACAGAAATTGATTAAGTCGTATTATGGTTAAAACGTGGGATATAAAAAACAAATGAAGCTCTACGTAACAATTACACTTATATCCTTCTGTCTTTGTCTTCTTCTGTGATATGGTTTTTTATAAAGTCTTTGATTATGTTACATTTTGAAAACATTATTATGATTATGATTAGATTTATTGTCATTATAAATGTAGTATAACATAATGACTTTTAAACATATTCACATTGTGACAGATATTGTGCACATGGGTATAAAATGTTTTATATTATTTAATGATGAAGTTAGGTTTCCTAATAAACGTATTAATGTTTTGCAGAAGTGTCGAAAATTATACGAAAATTCCAAAAATAAAAACCCAAACAATCGCAAATTGTGGAAAAAAATTTGTTATAAATAAAGAATTATTGACATAATTTATTGATTAGTCGTTCTAATCATCCTTTACTTACTTTTTAACTAAACAAGATGCAATTGATCTCGTTAACCTAAAAATAATTAGATCTCTTCACGTGACAAGTTGAATCACTAAACCACAGGAAAAATTGTGATTTCAGTACATAATGATTACAGTCTAAATTACCTATGTTAATGTGTAACTGACGTGAGGAATTATTGTTTGAGTGTATTTGATATTCGACAGGCAACTCGACAGTGATTGATGTTGGTAAAATGTGGTTAACTAAAAACAACAACAATTTCCTTCAAGAATCTATATGTGACTACGATAACTTGCTCATTTGAAAGTACATAATTTACATATGAATCTATGATAGGTATCTATAAGTATAAAAAGCAACAAGGTTTAAGGCTACATTTCTTTCACCTATATTTCACAACAGATTGATGATGTTCGTTAGACATATATCATAAATTTAAATACGTTCAGGCTAGTATATACGTTGACACAAATTAGTGACAAAGAAAGTTTGGCTTCAATTCATCAGGACAGTCTACAATTAAGTTTAAATGAGTACTTTGAATGAATTTACAAGCTAGACATATCAATTAGATTTAGGAAGGCCTTGTTATTGGATTTCACAGTTGAATCATAATTCTTCAAAGGCTCTTAATGAAATCTCTGAAAATGATGTGTATGTAAATTGAAGCATAACTGATCAAGTTTCAGCTAAGGCGTTTAAACGAAATACTTAGAATTTATGTATGAGTGCCACTAATCATACCCCTGTGTCTTCAACATTTAAATAATTTTATTAATCCTGGTGACAAGTTTTGCTTATATTCCACACGTTATATTTTTAAAAAATTTCTTCAATGTCAGACAATGCAGCAACAACTGATGCAAAATCCAAAACAAACGTTCCTCCACTGAAAAAGATTATACGATCTTCGATTACAGAAACTGAAGAAGTTAAAGAGAAGTCTGTTAAATCCTACTTTGATACTGTTTCATCAGCTGGTTATCCGACATCACCACCAGAGTTTTCTGACTATGTCAAGACACGTGCAGCCAATAAATATCCGAGTTATTCATCCTCTTGCAGTTCATATCAATATCATCATCAAGTTGAAAATTTTCCTAAAAAATCAAATGACACTATTAATGGCCATAGTAATGTGACAACGCATAAAGTTATTTCTACAGTTAATAAAATGACACCGGAGAGTATGACACCTCAAACGAATAATTATGAAAGTATATCAAGACCACAAATCAGTGTCCCTATTAAAATACGACGTATACCACAAGATGTTCGTATTATTCATGCATCCAATTCATCTGCATTAAATAAATTAGATGAATTTAAACGAAACTGTGAACGAGCAACAAGACAATGGGAACAAGTGATCAATACTAAAAATGGTAATAAATTGTCAGAAGAAATAATGTTTCAACGAATACATGAATTAGAATCCAATGTAAAAGAGGCTGAAAAGTAAGTGAGTTTATACTTACACAATGTTAGCAAAGTGTCTTAATTTTCATTTTAAACACATAAATCTAATCAATTCATTGATAAACGAATCACAAATCAGATTATTTGTAATTCATTTGGCTAATTGATCACAATAGTTAACTTTCTGATAGACTAGTTTCTCATAAAATATTTAATATGAGTCTGTTTCAAGGGTGTATGTAAGGGCTTGGCTTCTTTGCTGTTCTGTAAAGTCTACATAATTGATAGATTGAGGGTGTTGTGTAAGTTGATCTTAACTGTGATTGTAAGGTCAAAGTAAAATTTCGTGTGCTATTTCGAACCGCATTTTATTTTGGTGATAGTAATAGTAAATGGCCCTTTAAACTTAGATAGATATAGTGTAATTTTAATCTGCAACCTTGTGGATAAGTTATTTATACAATTACCAGTGATACCTTCTAATCAAACGACATGACAATGGGAAAGAATTAAATAACCATGCTCAGTAGACTATTTCTCAACTATATTGTGAAGTTTATAACGTTTCACCGACAAATATACTGATGACATTATTAACCTCCTTACTAGTTTGTAAATAACGCTTGGTAACCTCGATCAAAAACTTCTCAATAAATTTTCATAATCTACTAAGAGTATTAAATTTTTTCGATAGTTTTATATTCATTTTGTAATTGTTTATAATGCCTTACTCAAGTTATTATTTTAATGCGCCTGTCTTAAAAATCTGTTGACACATCGTTTTTGAGTTAAATATTCACAAAAAAAATCGAACGCCATGACTTGTGATGATTATATGCATTTTAAGAGAAAACACATGTTTTTGTTCAACATTATGACTGGTGGGAGAGCTCATTGTTGAATAATTGAAACATACTATTTCATGTTCAAACATTTGTCAACTCTGTTACTCTTTCAATTAGTAATGATCCAATAGGAATTGCACCGTCAAATGAAGTTTTAAACAAATAACTTAAAATCATAACGTTTGGGATTAAACAATTCAATTTTTTATAACTAGATATATAAATGAATGTTGCGTTTCAAATGACCACATATTAAATATTATCCGCTTTATTCTTGTTAGTTAGGAGAGTGTTAACTAATCGGCATTGAAGCACTCATATGAATATCGATACACTTAAACGTATGAATTATTTAGCAGACATGTGATTATAAAGAATACAAAATGTCTACAGTAGGGTATTTATTTTTACTATGAGAATCCCAGCCTACTGGATGTAAAACCTTTTGAGATGGTGGGGAATATTTGTAGCTCAGGTGGATGATTGTGATGGTGTTTCGTTTTCAGTGCTGGATATTTTGGTTGTGGAGGATTGATTGTTCTTCTGAACAACATCATCAGTACAAACTTCAGATAGAAGTGAAGTTTTTGAATTTCTCCACGTTTGACCTGTAGCTTGTGTTCTGTTAACCTCTATCTTGATTGGATTCTATTAACCTTGAACCTGTCGCTGTTTGTGCCTTTATTTTGATTGTGTCTCCCTTTGATATGTTTCTTAATCCTATATTTGCATATGATTTTCCTGATTGGTTGATAAAATGGGTCAATCTCGATGTGTTTGTTGATTGCCTGAGTACCTAGCCTCTAAATATTCACTGGTGTTCTTTGCTCTCTCCCTGTGCAGTATTTCAGCATTGTCCCGATTGAACATATGTCCATAGTTGTCCGTATGTATCGATATAAGTAAAAAAATGTCTTGGTGTTTGACTGCTGATTGATGTTCACGTAACCGACGTCCTATGAAGTATTTTTCACAATCTAAGCAATTTATTTTGTGGATCATATTTAGTTTTTCTTCCTTTATCACTCTGTCCTTTGGTCTACGTAGAACTGATTGAAGTAATTCTGATGGTTTGTGTGCTACACCTATTCCAAACAGTCTCGGAAGTCGTGCTGTACTTTCCAAAATGTCTTTCATGTATGGTAGAATGACCAGTTTGTATGTTCCGGCAGCTGTTTTCCCTTATGTTGACGATGTCAGCTGATGTTATTCGATGAAGTTGCGTGGATAGCCGTTCATTTGGAAGATGGTCATTAGACATCTACCTTATTTATTTTACGCTTCAAGTGTGATGCACTGTGTCTTCACTCTTTTGAAGGACGTTTGTACGCAGTTGATTTTGTAAGTTACTAGATTATTGCTGCTGTAGCTAAGAATCAGGTCTGCATGGGTTAGCTTCAGAAATACTGGAGTCTCCAATTTCCCTGTGTCAGTTTTGGTGATTTGTACATACAGCAATGATAGACTGCTGTTTGATTCCCATTCTGTTTTGAATTTTATGTCATCAAAGGCGTCGTTGATCTGATTGTAGATGTTCTCCATCTTGTTCATATTATTAATGACGAATTCGCGTCTACATGGTGAACCCACATTTTTGGCTTGATCATTGGTTAAACTGATGCTTCTAGTCTCAGCATTACAGCTTTCGTGATGAGTCCTCATACTGGTGATCCCATTGGTGTTCCTTTTGTTTATTCGGAAATTTTCTTGTTTAATTGTATATACATTGTCAAGCATAGATCGATGAGTTCTAGGAGACTTTTACTCCGAAATTTTGTATGTTTTTAAAGATTTGTTTCGTTGGTTAGTAGTAACGATAGAGTTTCTTTGGCTAAGCTTGGCTCTATTGAGGGCAATAAGGCTGTTACGATTTGAATCCAATAGTTGTGTTGTTGACTTAATGGAGTAGTTGAATGAATCTACGAGATGTTTCAATGTCCTTGAAATCTCTCTTGATAAGTTGTATGTTGGGGTTCTCCACTATCTAAAACTCATATGAGCGTTGTTCGAAAATGAGAGAATTTTGCCAAAAGGCAGGCTTCCACTCGAGAACAACTCTAGTTTCTCCACGAATATATATATATAATTTATGTATGTATATAACTTGACAATATTATCAACTATTTGTAGGCAAGTAAAATATTTGAATGTAATTTGCATTTCTGGCTTTACTTAAAAAATATCTTGGTTTTTGATGAGTAGGCAATGTTCTTGTTATTAAGATTTGATGATCTAATCAATGATTTGTTATGTGTACTCACAAATATATATATATATATATATATATATATATATATATATATGCATGTCAAAATGTTTTCTTATCTGTTGAAATAATCAATATAAAACGTTTGAAAAATAAAAATTGTGAATTTCATATAATGAAAAACTGAAGGTTTTAAAATTATTCGAATTTCAAGAAAAATCCTTCATGATTACAGAATAAGTTTAAACGTAACTGATCAAACTAGTTATTCGCCAAAATAATAGTTGAAAAAATCATGAGAATTTTCATCATATCAATTTTTCTGTGGAAATTAGTGATTCTCAAATGATAAAAATGACAGTCATGAGTGTATACTAGTTAATGCAAATAAACGAAGAGAGAACAAGAGAAAATTTATTGTACTCATAATTATAAAATAGTTGCACTAAATAGTTAGGATTATTTTGTCATCACCCGACCACTTACAAAATCAGTGGTACACCTGATAGACCGTTTATGTAAGAGCTTATCAAATCTTTTCTATTGTAAACATTGAGGTTACTTACTTACTTACTTTCGCCTGTTACCCTCAATGGAGCATAGGCCGCTCACCAGTTTTCTCCAACTAACTCTGTCCTGGGCTTTCCTCTCCAGTTCTGTCCAATGTTTGTTCATTCCTCTCATTTCTTTCTCTGTTTCTCGGCGTAATGTGTTCCTTGGCCTTCCTCTTTTCCTTTTGCCTAACGGGTTCCATGTGAGGGCTTGTCTCGTGACGCAGTTCGGTGCTTTTCGTAGTGTGTCCTATCCACTTCCACCGCTTCTTCCTCATTTCCTCCTCCACTGGAATCTGGTTTGTTCTCTCCCACAGTTCGTTGTTGCTGATGGTGTCTAGCCAACGAATACGAAGTATTTTGCGTAGACAACTGTTAATAAACACTTGTATCTTCTGGATGATGGCTTTGGTAGTTCTCCATGTTTCCGCTCCAAACAGTAGAACTGTCTTGACATTTGTATTGAAAATCGTGATTTTGGTTTTGGTTGAAAGTTGTTTGGAGTTCCAGATATTTTTCAACTGTAGAAATGCAGCCCTTGCTTTGCCAATCCGCACCCTAACATCTGCATCGGATCCACCTTGGTTGTCGATTATACTGCCCAGATGTGTAAACGTGTTAACTTCCTCCAAGGCATCTCCATCAAGAGTGATTTGGTTGGTGCATGTTGTGTTGCATCGGATAATTTTGCTTTTTCCTTTATGTATATTGAGACCTGGTGCTGCAGAGGCTGCTGCTACACTGGTCGTCTTCTCTTGCATTTGTTGTTGAGTGTGCGATAGAAGAGCCAGGTCATCTGCGAAGTCCAGATCATCCAGCTGCGTCCTAACTGTCCAGTTGATACCGTGCTTTCCTCCAGATGTTGACGTCTTCCTAATCCAGTCGATGACCAGGAGAAAGAGAAAGGGTGAGAGTACGCAACCTTACCTGACAATGGTCTTCACCTCAAAGGAGTCTGTTAGCTGTCCTTCGTGTACGATTTTGCAGGTGAATCCATCATAAGAATTCCGTATGATGTTGACTATTTTCTCAGGCGCCCCGTAGTGTTGAAGAAGCCTCAACAGTGTTTTCCTATCCACGCTATCAAATGCTTTCTCGTAGTCGATGAAGTTGATGTAGAGTGGTGAGTTCCATTCAATTGATTGTTCCACAATGATCCGTAATGTATCAATTTGGTCAGTACACGATCGATCCTTACGAAATCCGGCCTGTTGATCTCGAAGTTGGGTGTCTACGAAGTCCTTCATTCTGCTTAACAATACCCTGTTGAAGACTTTGCCTAGTATTGAAAGAAGAGTGATGCCTCTGTAGTTCTCACACTTGCTGAGATCGCCTTCCTTTGGTATTTTGATGAGGTATCCTTCTTTCCAATCTGATGGTACTTGTTCCTCATCCCAAATCTTCTTGAAGAGGATGTGAAATATTTTCGCAGTTGCT